CTTAGATAGTGAAATATTACTTTTATTCTTATGAATGTATAAATATTTGGAAACCTTGGAAAGATTGTTTAAAGGAGGGTGGTAAATAGCGTGTGAGTCCGAGTAGAAAGGCGATTTTGTGATAATGTTGTGTGTTGTTGGTATACGCGCGGGAAAAGTCAAGATGCCCAATTGCTCCGTCTTGAGCTTATCGCCGGACGAATGCGGAGAAAGTATTTTTGGGTGTCCACTGGTCCTGTTATACTATAGTCGGCAAAAATGAAAAAATGAATGATTTTGGCTGTCCATTCCCTATGGTATTAATAGTCGGCAAACGTGGGGATATTTCGGATAAAGATCTATATAAATATGTGTATTGGGACTATCCTTAGGGGTTTTATGGCATAATTACCCCCCTCCCCCCAGGTGTTGAATTGTGAAATTTGTGGAAACTATGAATTCATGCTTTCTCTTTTAAAGTAATATTATGAGTTGACCTAAATGTGTTTTGCCTGTGATGATGCCATATGGATCTTTGAATAATTAGATACTCTGTTAAAATTATATTTATTAGGCATCTAGCTCATTCTTATTTAACAATTTTAGGAATTTTTGTTGACAGAGCACAATAGCTCTTAGATGTAATGTGTGGAAGCTCCGATCATATAGGTTTTGGGACCGAGAGTCCATTTTGTTGTATAAGGCTATGCCTTGTTTAAGTGTAAGCCGCTGTGGCATTTTATTTCACTCTTTAGTGTTTTTTGAACTATGTACATGGTTTACGTTTTTAATAGACGAATATGGAACTTGCATTTTGAAAACTTAGTTCAATGAGAAAGATAGCTTATTGGGATAATATCTTTATGATTCTGAGAAGATTTTGGTTTTATCATGTTTTAAGTAATGTTTTAATTTAAATAAATTAAGGGCGTTACATTGTCGAATCCTCCGCCGCTGGTACTGACACCACTACCGAGGCCCCGCTGGAGACTAGAAGGATAAGGATGATGACGACTGGTCCGATGATGAATGACCTCATACGATGATGATAACTATGATGATCGAAGAAGATGCCAACGAACGAGATGGCTCATCTTCATCGCTGCCGCCGTCGTCATTGTCGTCGTGGCTGTGGTGAGGTAGAGTCACAGTGGTGGTGGTGGTTATGTCGCTGGCTATGGTGAGAAATGATGGTAATGCATAGTTTTGTAGAGAGAGGTTGATGCAAGGGGGCTTTAGACTTGCAGAGAGAGAAGATGAAGAGGTGGCTAGGGTTTAGATTAGAGAAGAGAGAAAATGTAGAAAGAGGGGGTTTGGAAAATAAACCGATCATAATCTCAATAAACATGTAGTTCTCTCAATAAAGCGGTAGCTGTTTAGGTATTCTGATCATTTCACATAGCCTTATCCTCATGGGGTTTTTTTGTAGGTCTTTTTAGTTGTAGGATATTATTGGAGAAATTTTTTTTTTGTGTTTAGGAAGATAGTTGGGTTTTTTTGTGGTTGGATGTGATGTTTGTGAGAGAAAAAGTGAAATGATTATGGGATTTGATGTGATATTTTGTTTGGATTTGTTTTTTTTTTTTTTTGTTTTGTAACTAATTTGTCTTTTAGGGAAAAAAAAAAAAAAACCCTAAAAACTAACTTTCCGAACACCCCCATTATAGCTCGTGGACCTTTAACCAAGAAAAATTCAAATTTGAATTTTTCACTTGAATGCTCTTTTGTTTTTCACCGATAATTCTCTCTTTTCTTGTGGATTCAATGTGCTTTTCATTTGCTAAAATGATATCTAGTCTCGTGTAATATATTTCGGTATGTCAGATTGTTGAAACCCTCGCCATCATCTACACAAGAAACCATTCACTCGGTCTGCAATGGTTGAAAACTCCTCACCATGGAAGAGCTGAATCCATTTTTTCTTTTTTTGAAGCAACTATTTTATTTTGTTTTTGTGGGTTTGTAATTTATTTAATTTTCATGTAAATTTGTTGGGAATAATTGTTTAAGGTAAATTTTTTTAATACAATTTATGTGTTTGTGATGGGCTATGAATTCGATTGCTTCTACGCTTTCTAATTTTTATTTGTTTGTAAATTTTCTAGATTTATAGTTGCTTCTTCTGTGTTTGTAAGGAAAATCGTTAAAAGGGTGATGGAAATAAGAGAATGCAATTGATGTGGAAATTGTGGTAGTTTTAAAATTTATGTTAAATTTGGCCTAAGTTTTACGGACACTTGAGAAGAAAAAACTGAAAGTCTTACCAAATTTTGATACTGACAACCCTAATAATAAATTGATAAAGATGCCCTTAATAAATCACTGGAGATCTCTTGACACTAAAATATAAGTTGTTAAAGATGCCTTTAATAGATCACTGGAGATCTCATTTATTGGTAAGATATCAGTAATATTCATTTTTACACAGATGTACTTTTTTTTATTTATTATTAATTGTTTGTCTGCTTTTGAACACGTATATGATTTTAAACGTGATTGAGAAATATTATTTTGTAATTTTTGCCAGTACGAAAACATACAATGTAAGAAATTAGTATAAACAATTCGTGGCTTCGTTTGAAAAGAGGGGCTGGTTTGGGTTGGGTATGAGGTTATTTTAATTAAAAAAAAATAAAATAAGTTTTTAGTTTAATAAGATAAAATATCATATTTAATTTATAATTATTGTATTTTTTTTCACAAAAATTTAAAAAAATTAAAAAATTTCTTTTCAAACGAGACTTTTTAATTTTAAATTAAAATAATAATAAAAAAACTAATCCACTTTCCAAACCAACCGCGTAAAAAAATAGTTTGACTGGTATAAAACGCTGCAAATGACACCTGTTGTCACTAGTATATTATAGTCAGTGCGTTTAGTTTGAGTTTTCTGAATTAAGTTTTTTAAAAATTGAATTTTTTGATTTTCTTATTTTTTTTATTTTTAGTGAATATTTTTGAAATTTTAAACAATTTTTTTATTTTTTTTTACTTAAATGTATCTAAAAAGTAAAAAATTTGTAAAAAAATATTTTAAAAAATTAATAAATGCATGAAAATATAAAAAAAAATGTACTAAATTCTTGTATTTTTTTTTTGTATTTTTGGTATTTAGTGAATTTTTTTTAAAAAAAATTTATAATTTTTTTACTTTTTAAGTGTATTTATGTTAGGTGTATATAAAAAATTAAAAAAATTACTTAAAATATTAAAAAAATTCAGTAAAAACAAAAAAATACTGAAAATAAAAAAAGTAGAATTTTCTTAAAAGTGTTTTTGGGAAGTTTATAAAAAGTTAACTTTTTAACTTTTTTAGTGTCTTTTTGGACAAAAAAAAACTAGTTTCTTTGGCTAAAAAAATGCTAAAAGGCCCAAAAGCTGTCATTTCGCACGATCGGCGTACCTCATTGACGGGCATCTCATGATAATACTGATATAAGAGGGGCATTATCGTAAATTTAGACTTATTTGGGGGAAGTAAATTAAAAATTAATTTTTTTTATTTTTTTTTCTCTCCGTCTCAAAATATTAGGCCAAGTTTGGGAAGACTAAAAAAGTGCACTTTTTGTCTTTTTGGACTAAAAAATTGAGGTTGAAAATATGGATGTTTGGGTTAACTTTTTGACTTTTTATTGAAAAATGTGTAATAAAAAATTGTAAAAATTGATTTGTAGGTAAAAATTTGAATTGGGAGTTGTGCAGCCGTAATTGTTGACTTTTGGTGAATAATGTTAACTTTTTAGCTTTTTGAGTAATTTTTTAGCTTTTTGACTTTTTTGGATCTTCCCAAACTTGCCCTTAGTCTTTTATTTCATTCTTCATTGTCTTAAAATATTAATTAATTTTTAAAAATTAAGCACTAAAATAATATAAATTTTTTATTTTGTTCTTCTCTTAGATTTGTTAATAATACAAAAACTATAATTATGACAATTGATATTTTTTTAAAAATATGTTACTCTCTTTGTCCTAAAATAATGGTCCCTTTTAGAGAATATAAATTTTTTGATAGTACAATTATTGCACTTTAAAAAATTAATTTTTGAAAATTACCCTTTGATAGTATATTTTTTGGAAAATATCAATTTCATAATTGTACTTTTTATATTGTTAATGAATTAAATGCACCAATAAATCCCAAATTAACAACTCATACACTGTTTAGTCCTAAAAGTTTTCTTATAGACTGAAAGGTCCCATTACAATGTTTCAAACATCAGATTAATGTTTCGAACATTAGATTTCGAACATCAGATTAATGTTTTGAACATTATATTTCGAACATCAGATTAATGTTTCAAACATTAGATTGATGTGCAAATGGGACTAAATGGAGCATAAGAAAACTTTTAGGACTAAATGGTTCAACTTTTCAGAAACTAGGACTTATGGATAAATTTTCCTAAAAATAATGATAAAATAGAAAATTTATATTATTTTTGTACTTGATTTTTGAAAAAGAACTAATATTTTAAAATAATGAAAAATGAAATAAATGACTAATATTTTAGGACCGATAGAGTATCACAGAATAATTTTAAAAAATTAATATTTTTAAAATATAATAATTATATTACCAAAAAAAATTTAAATTTCTCAAAAGAATATTATTTTAAGAGAAAAAAATAATTTCTTTTAAAAAAATATATGAAAAAACAATATAATTAAAATAAATTAAAAAATTAATAAACTGAATTTAAGGGATGGTTTGAAATGGATGGTTTGAAATGAGTTAAATAAGTATACTTTCTGATTTTTTATGAAATATAAGTTAAATATGAATTAGATTTAAAGTGATATGATGGAGAAATAATATGATATAAATAAAATAATATGATTAAATAAAATAATAATTTTTTAATTTTTCTAAATTATGACAAATAAAATCATAATTAACAGGCCAAAAAAATCATAGTCCCGATTATATTACTAAAATTATAAAACCTCAGACCCCGAGATCTCAGGGTTGTTGTACTTCTCATTGGCTACACCAACAGAAGAGGTAAGAAAATAGTTTATTCACTCTCTTCTCTGTCTCTCTCTCCTATCTTCTTTCTCTCTCTTCTCTCCTTCCACTTTCTCTCTCTTCCCTCACTGGCACTCACCAACAACACCGCTGCTCCCACTACCACTCCCACCTTCTGCTCTAGAGATAGAAAAATCAAATTTAGAGCGAGAGAGAAAGGAGAGAGAGAGAGAGAGAGGTTTCTCTCGTTGTGTTCTGCTTTTGTGTTCTAACCTGTTACTACTATTATATTCTCTGTTTTTTCAGTGACTATTGCTATTATTATCGTCTCTCGACTTCAGTGATTGAGCTTCAATATCTTAATAGCGTTTCAGACTGTATATAAACATATATATAGGTGTATAGTGCTTTGTGCTGATAATTAGGGTTTTGAGTGAAAGAATCTGAAGTACAATTGGTCCTCTGTGCTAAAGCCATGGCAGAGTATCTAAAATATTGAGGTGAATTTGATGTTTGGATTTTATCAAAAGTGCTTTGGTTGTTTATTACTCTCTTTCAACTTGATCTGGTGAAAGGAGAGCGTGAGAGAGCGTTTTGAGGATTAATGGATTCAGATTTTGGGTTTCGCGGTGAGGAATGTAGTGATGATAGTCAACAGGTGCAACAGCAGCAACCAATAAGGAATTCTGGATTGGTGAGGTATCGATCTGCGCCGAGTTCCTATTTTGCAAGGCTCGTCAACACTGGTGGTGGTGGTGGTGGAGAAAATTGTGATCAATTTGTCAATCCTCGGCCTTCAAGTCCAGAAACAGACCAAATTTTTGCCGGATTTATGTCGTGTGGTGGCACACAAGACTCAACTCCTCACAATCTATGTGATATTGGGCAAAATTCTTCAGCAAATGAAGCTTTCCAACCACAATTTGTTGCAAATTTGAAGGAAGAAACTGACATTTTTCATCATCATCATCATGATGAGCAGCAACACAACAGTGGTTATTCTTCTGCTTCTGTTTCTGCTTCAGCTTCGGCTTCGCAGATAATTTATCAAAATCAGTCTCAAGATACTCAACCAAATCATAACTCTGTGGCCTCTAATTCGGGGATGGATAACTCTTGTGGAGTGGCGAATTCAATGCGAACGAAGTTAAGTGGCGGTGCTGGTTCTAGTAATTCAAATCTTATTCGTCACAGTAGTTCGCCAGCCGGATTATTCTCCCACATTAATAACGAAAATGGTACCCATGTTTAGCTTCCTGTGCACATTTCTTTTTCAGCTTTGTCAGTTTTTCAATTAATAAGTTGCATAGTATTTGGAATAGGCTGTTGATACTTACATGTACTGATAAATTAATATTCAAAAAAACTAACCCATTTTCTGATAACACAAACAACAGCAAACAAATTGAATTGGATGTTGAAGGACCTAGTATTATTAACCTTTTTGCATGATTAGTCATATGTATGTGATATGTGATCCAATGAAGGTGCGGTTGAGGTATGATTTTAGGCTCCCTTTGGATTTATCGATTGAAATGAGTGGATTTGACATTAATAGTTTGAGAAGTATAGTCTTTAAGAAAATCTAATACTTTAGATTTATATATGAAGAATAGATTTGAGAGTTTACAATAGCTATTTGAAATCCTTCCATGGAAGATTCTACTTGTACAATGAACTTAACAAAACACATGAGACATACATACCTCTATTCAGCCCTCCACCTTGGAGTTATCATTAACATTCAATGACTAATCTTCGTATAATTTTTATAAGAGAAAAGTTAGGGATCATGAAATTTTTTTCATGAAAATGATCATGAATGATTTATGATCTTTGGATTACCTTGATTAATGTGTGGTGCTTTATTCTAAGTGTAATCCAAGGGTCACAAAGCTTTCATGATTATTTTCATGAAAGATTTTTCATGATACTTAACATTGCTGTTTTTATAAAATTCAACTTCACATACCTTCATTTGAAATCCACTTATCCAAAGGGAGCCTTAGATGAATAATCATAGGTGAGAAAGTGAGTTGCTTGATGGTTCTAGAGCTCCGGCCTGTTAAAGTCGAATGACATCCATCTGGCTGTGTTATAATTCTTGGCTTTTATTTTTTACTGGTTTCAACTTTCAACTAGTTTGTTTATGAGATTAGAATTTGGGAACAAAGCTGAAATTATTCAGCTATTGGCAGGTTATGATGTAATGAGAGGCATGGGGAATTTTGGAGGCGGTAATGGTACTAATGCAGAAGCATGGCTTCCCTCTCCAAGCAGGTTGAAACGCCAAATGGCTTTCTCATCAGGGCCACCTTCTTGTTCGGGGCCAATGGCTCCTATCTCGGAAAATGGAAGCAAATGCATGGAAATCAGTGGCCCTGAGCATGAAAGTTTTTGTGAAGATCACAGAAATGATCGTGGTTATATCGCTGGTTTCCCAATTGGTTCTTGGGATGATTCGGCTATCTTGTCCAACAGTTTCCTAAAAAGACTCGAAGATGATGACAGAGAAACATTCTCTGACATGAATGTATCAGAGAATCAGGTATAATGCGTTTTTGATCCAATGTTATTTGGTTTCTGAACATATCTAATGTAATCATTGTTTATGTTTTCGGTTGGTCAGAAAGTTGGAGGAGGGAACCGAGCTCCCACTGTATTATCTCATCACTTGAGTTTGCCGACAAGTTCAGCAGAATTGTCTGCTATGGAAAAGTTGTTGCAGTTTCAAGATTCTGTTCCTTGTAAGATCCGAGCCAAGCGGGGCTGTGCCACTCATCCACGAAGCATTGCTGAGAGGGTATTATGGATTTCTTGTTTATAAATTTTATGACAGTTATAAAGTTGGTGAACTCTTAACCATTATTCAAGTTATTTTTTTGTTAATTGAATGTTTCTATAATTCTGTGTGTTTTATGTGGGTTTTCACTTTTCAGGTCAGAAGAACCCGGATTAGTGAAAGAATGAGGAAATTACAAGAGCTTGTCCCAAACATGGACAAGGTAGATGCATCAATTGTCATTTTTCTCTTAAAAGTTAAAACTGGTGATGAAAACCCAGAGCTAAATCTTTGTTCTATGCATCCTTTGCAGCAAACAAACACAGCAGATATGTTGGATTTGGCTGTGGATTACATTAAAGACCTTCAGAAGCAAGTAAAGGTACATAGTGCAGTATTCTAGTTGAAACCCACAAAGACTTCAAACAATACCATGTACTCTTTGATTAATTTTAGATTGTTCTATGCATTTGTATGTGTTCCAGATACTCTCAGATAGTCGAGTGAAGTGTAGGTGTTCAAATGAGCATAGGCCATAGCTCAAAAAAAGCATGGTTGTGACTTGCTTCTCTATACCAAGGAAGGGAACCAGAAAGAAGATAGAAAACTAGCTGTTCAGTAGTCCCAGAGCACCACGGTTGGAATCTTTTCAGTGTTAGATTTAGACTTTATGCATAAAAGTAAAAACTAACTGTATAGTAGATTTTCAGTTGTATGTAGTTTGTGTTTTTAAGTTAAGGACTTCAACCAACTTTGGCACACAGGCATGCTCGCAAGGAGATATGAATCCAAGGAGTTTGTTTAGTCCCGTTGCATGAATTATGAAATTGTGTTAATTGTGATCTCCCAACTAATTGAGCGGGGAACATTGACAATTCCCTTGAAATTTAAACCGAGGGCATTAAACCACCACCATCATTACTCCCTCTGCTCTTCTCTCTCACTTCCCTTCCCTTTTACCTGTGGTGGCATTGATTGGGTGTGCCATGGCTGTAACTGTGTTATATTTCTTTGATTTTCCGTCTGTTTATCTGCGGCTGTTTGGAGGGCAGGAGCTGGCAGATTAGGGTGGTGGAGGGGTGCAGGGTGAAGGTTAGGGGTGGCAACAGATGCTGTGGGAGTGGCAGCAGATGGTGAAAGTTTGGGTAAGAGATGAGGGGAACAAGGTTGTTAGGTGATTTTTTTATGGAATCAAAGAGTTGTTAAGTGATTTTTCCATTTTCATTTTTTTTTGAGGACTCCATTTTCTATCAACTTCCTTGACAGAATATTTTTTGTTTCTTAAACCAGTCAGAGACTTAGTATTTTTATAGATTTTAGCAGGTATATTTATAATTTATTTTTAAAAAAATTGAAATTGTTTGGGTGCTGCATACAGTCCTTTATATTCTTTGAGAAATGTTATATGTAAGCATAATTCTTATCTCAATTTTTTTACTCCTAAACATGACAATGAGCCCCCATCAATAAATTTACATGGCCGAAGGTGACAGCATAAGACAACTAGCTCGTGTTGTGATATATGTAATCATAATTCATATATCCAAAAAGCTTTGAAAAAAAAAAAAAAAATCTATTACCTTTCTCTTCTTAGCGCCGAACCAATTAGAAACTCAGACCATTTTACTTGATTGAAAGTTAAAAAACCATCTCTCCCTCCTCTCAAACGAGGCAACAAAATAAATATCGAACGAAAACAGAAAGCAGTAATCAAATCTCTAGGGAAAATTCTTACTCTCACAGTCTCACTATTGAGGACGATTCAAACAGGATTTGAAAAGTGAAAAAATTACAGATTTCCACCGATATTGTTTTTTTATCTAGGATTAGTTTTGTTTGTGTAAACTTAGCCTTTATGATTTTAAATTTGATAAAAAATGTATAAGGTGGAATTGCTGTTATGATTATAAATATTTTATAATTCGGCATCTCGTTGAATACAATTGTTGAGATGCCATTGCTCAATATTTATTATTTGAACAAATTGTCTATGTTCGGCTTTGTATTTCTGAATATTTAATTTTCTAATTTTTTTCACATTTCAATTCTGAACGAAAAAACTATCCAATATTATATTTTCAAGCAAATTCCATATGTTTAAAACTTGTTTCTAAATAAATTTCATTTTGTTTAGTATTGAGTGTAAAAAAAAAAAATATTCGACTGCATTTTAATTCCTTTAAACTTTCTAACTTCAGGGGTGTACTAGAGTGTGTTTATAATATATTTTCTATAGTTTTTGGGTATTAAAAATAATAGTTTAAATTTTAAATTTTAAAATAGAGTGTCCTAAATATTAGAGTGTTTAACCAAATTTTCAAGATCTAAAGCTGGTCTTTTAATTTTTTTTTTTTAAATATGTAAAAAAATAAAATAATGAGGTGACCCAAAACGATTTTAAAAAAGGCTTTTAGCCGAGCCAAAATAAATGATCATTAACTTGAGTCCACTTTCTTTTGGGAGTTAGCACGCAGAGGATAATATGGAAAACATGTTAGCAACAGAAAAAAAATAAGAACATATAAATTCACTAATGCTTCAGGTCTAGAGAGTTTCAAGCGCGAATGGTGCAAATTTGTGGTCACCGGCTGGACGACCGGTCGACCAGCCAGACAACCGGCCGAACAACTACCTGGACAATCGGGTGAATCACTTGTCTACCGTAGTTATCACCTTGTCAACTGCGACTGTCAGCCTCTTTACGGACGACTGGCCGAATGACCAACAGAACGACCGGTTCAACAAATTCAAGACAAATTCACGCCTCAATATTCGAGACCTGTAACACGACTGTTCAACAAATTCAAGACAAATTCACGCCTCAATATTCGAGACCTGTAACACGACTCATATAAGTTATAAGGAAAAAAAGAAATTAAAAATAAAATACTTGATAAAAAGTAAATATTTAGATAATAATATTAATATAATTTGATATATATAAAGTAAGTTAAAATCCGATTTGATGGATCAATCCATAAGACTCATGGTCCAACAAGATTGAGGTCGGATTTGGTAGATCAACTCATGGAGTTGGTGGCTCAATAAAATTGAGGTTAGCCTAAGACAAAAACTCTTTATAAAAGATTAAATATGCATTTAAAATTTTAAAATTCTAGATCTCTACTCGCTTTCCATATCTACACTTCTAACAAAAACATCCAAAGTCTTTGACTAATACCATACCAATAATCTAGAGACTCACTTCATTTTCTCTTGCAAGTCGATGAATTAGATTAGAATCATACAAATTTGATAGTAAAGATCCTATGTTCTTAAATAATCTTGTTTCTCTATTTTAAATCACTCATAACTATTGGATCATATAAGAATTTGGAGATATGAAAATCTTAAAATATATAAAAATTTTAAAATATATCTAATGGTCATGAATGTTTGGAAACAAGAGAATAGAGTCATTTAACGACAAAACATCCTTGGATCAAATTTTATTATCCTCATAAATCATGCAGGCACCTAGGTTCCCCTCTATTAAATAAATATAGAAACAGACTTGAGCAGATAGGATGATTAAGGAAAGAAAGAGAGGATGGGGGAGAGAGAGAGAGAGCACAGCTGGATATAATGGAGTATGATGGGTCAATTTGAAATTGGACCCCAACCAACCATGGAAGTGAGAACCACGTCATATCTGATGTCATCATCTTTTGCCAAAATGCTGTGTCTTCCCTTGTATGGCCATTGGTCACTATGTAAGGTCACCGATGAAAACTTTGGACATTTTAAAAAAGATTTTTACAATTTTATTATAATGATATAATATAATAAGTGTTAATTTTTTTATTTATTACACATTTAATTACATAAAGTTTAAATTCCTTATCAAATTATTATTGATGAATTTACTTTTTATATTGTAAGTCTAGCATTTTTTTTTAATTTTTTTTTTAAACAATCCATCTAACAATACTATGGATCCATTACTACTTAAACCCTTTCTCTTTTTTAAATACAGTTTTTAGAATTGAGGTGTCAAGCCATCTACAATCTCAAAAGATTATCATAAATCATGGATGAAGAGGGTAAATTATGGGAGATTTGGCCAATATCATCCTTATAAGATTTAATTTTTGAATTACAACACGTGGCCGAAGTGTCACCGAAGTGCCAGCCGAGGTACCACGTGTCCTGCTCATGATACCGAGATGATCTCGGTTAGGCCGAGGTTATCAATGAGAATACCGGAATCTGAAATAAGCGGATAAAGAACAAGAGTCCTAGAATAAGAGGAGACTTCAGTTTGGGTAAAGATGAGACTCTTAGAGAGCTTATCCTGATCCTATTGGGAGTCCAAGATTAGCAATAATCCTGAGTCCATTGGAGTTAGGCTTCTATTGGGACTAGGATTGAGTTAGCTATAAAAGAGAGGCACCTCCATAGGTCTAAGGTATGTCTTTTTATGCTCAAGCTAGTGAGTTTAGCACTATTGATTATCTTTGAGAGATATTGAGTACTGACTTGATCGTCGGAGTACCCCCGGGTGGCGAACCACCACCAGAGTCTTTTCTTTCTGTTGCAGGTTAGTCAGGTGCCATCTATTCTGCCAGTGCTCTCCAGCTGGATACTAAGATTGCAGTGTGGTCAGGTTTTCACCCACACAATTTTTGGCGCCGTCTGTGGGAAAGAAAGGAGAATAGATGGCCATCATCATACAAGATCAATGTAGCGAAAACGACGAGTTTAGCAAAAATGGAGAATGTGTCGACATAAACAGAATGAAGACCCTTCCAGAAGGGACGCAAAGACAGGGGGCATGAGCGCTCCCAAGGAGATGACATTCGAGTATAGAAGAGTTCAGCCTAAGTGAGAAAATCTCGGATCCCAGATCCCAGAAGACATGATCTCGGCCTAGATGAATAGGTCCTAGAAGAGAAGAGCTCAACCTGAGTGAGCAGATCCAAGATTCCAAAAGACAAAAGCTCGGCACTTAAATCCGAGAAGAGAAGAGTTCAGTGAGCAAAATCTCAGATCTTAGAAGATAAAAAAGAAACACATAATTAGGGGCCAGAGAGAAGACAAAGATGTTTAACACTTGTTGAAATTTGTAGCAATTTACAAGTTGGAGTTAAACCGAGATTATTGTTTAACACTTGTTGAAATTTGTAGCAATTTACAAATTAAAGTTAAACCGAGATTATTGTTTAACACTTGTTGAAATTTGTAGCAATTTACAAGTTGAAGATAAACCGAGATTAATATTTAACACTTGTTGAAATTTGTAACAATTTACAAGTTGAAGTTAAAACGAAATTATTGTTTAACACTTGTTGAAATTTGTAACAATTTACAAGTTGAAGTTAAGCCGAGATTATTGTTTAACACTTGTTGAAATTTTAAAACAATTTACAAGTTGAAGTTAAGCCGAGATCAATGTTTAACACTTGTTGAAATTTGTAACAATTTACAAGTTGAAGTTAAACCGAGAATAATGTTTAACACTTGTTGAAATTTGTAGCAATTTACAAGTTGAAGTTAAACCGAGATCATTGTTTAACACTTGTTGAAATTTGTAGCAATTTACAAGTTGAAGTTAAGCCGAGATCATTGTTTAAATACTTGTTGAAATTTGTAGCAATTTACAAGCTGAAGTTAAACCGAGATCATTGTTTAAACACTTGTTGAAATTTGTAGCAATTTACAAGTTGAGTTAAACCGATATAATGTTCAAACGCTTGTTGAAACTTGAGAAAAGTTTACAAGCAGAGTTAAACCGAGATAATGTTTAACGCTTGTTGAAACTTGAGAAACGTTTACAAGCAGAGTTAAACTGAGATGATGTTTAACATTTGTTGAAAGTTGAGAAAAATTTACAAGTCAAGACAAGGTTGTACTGAAAGAAGTATCTACATACTTGTCGAGATTACCATGTTGCCAGGACTTGGAAGATA